CTATACCTCCTTTGTCCATTGCAACCACCCGCTTTCACCAATAGAATCTCTCCATATCTCCTTTGTCTATAGCTTTGTCTATCAATTTCAATAATCGGCCCGCAGTCATATTGTCGTTTCTCCCACGAAAATAACGTAACTACATTTCAATGTTTCCAAAAACCTCGCAAATCGCATCCTCACGAGGAGACTGTTCGGAAATTCTAACAGACAATGTCACTGATTTTCAGTCTGATCTCGTGCAAAAATCAGAAAAATTTGTTTATAAATTGTGCAAGTGCAATCTTGCAAGAAATTTAATTGTTTCAGTTAGTTTTGGAATCGTGAAATGAATGTATGCCTGCTAAACGGGACGAAGTGCCAATCTCAGTTCCTTTTGCGGATTTTAGAATTCCGGATAGCGCGTTTTGCCGAACGGAACTAACTGTGAGAGGCCCATTTCATCAGCCCCCCCCCCCCCCCCCCCCCCCCCCCCCCCCCCCCCCCCCCCCCCCCCCCCCCCCCCCCCCCCCCCCCCCNAAAAAAAAAAAAAAAAACTATAAGTCACTCCTACCGGTTCATATGGATAACTTTATTTTTTTTTTTGGGTGGGGGAGGGATCGGAGAAATGATGGTATACTCCCCACTTTGCAATAGATAAATTCTGACGACAACGTTTTGCCTTTCAGCTCATCCTCAAGTCACATTTTGAGAATATGATCCAGAGAGCTTACACTGAGAAGAAAACTTCGATAATATGAACCGAATGTACGGTACTCAATATCGGCCGTATTGTTCGGTTCATACGTTCGCTCTCTCGGTTCCCAGAACTGAGAGAGCGGTTACAAGAACCGAATAATGGACCACTAGACAAGGTACCAATTTTAGAATTATAATACATGTTTTATGATCAAAATTTCACGTAGAACACGATGCGCACAACGAAAATTACCGAAATCAACTCCTTAAGGAAATATTTAATGATTCTTAGTGCGTGAATTCAAACCACCCGCTCATAAAAACTCAATGCTCTACGTGAACTGCGATGTAAAAATCTGGCAACCTCAATCTTGACGATTTGGCTTAGATATAACAAATTGCTTATAGTTTAAACGACACAAGGTGGGAAATGAACATTGCTCGATTGAGAGGCTTGCTGAAACCGTTGTAGTGCGCGATTTGACTCACGTAGAGTTTTGAGTATCTTGTGAGCGGCCAGTTCAAATTCCTCGTAACTGATGTGAAATAAAAACGTTAATATCTTCGCTAAGAGTTAGTTTCAGTAACTTTTGTTGCGCGAATCGTGTTCTACGTGAAATTTTGGTTCAGAAACATGTATTAGAATGCTAAAATTTGTACCCTGTCTAGTGGTCCACTGAGAGAGCGGTTACAAGAACTGAATAATTCGGCCGGTATTGAACACCGTACATTCGGCTCATAGGACCGAGGTTTTTTTTTTATCAGCGGCTTGAGAGAGCTATAGTCGAATAAAATTCCAACCTTTCCACAGATCGGCAGCCTACAGCCTGATTGATGGAAGGACCCCGCACACTCCTTGAGAGGAACCACTATCTATTTCCACTTTTTTTATTGCATCTCGAGCTCGTCTACAGGTGCTGATTAAAACTCATCATAGCGCCAACTTTCTACGAGGCACCGTTTCCGCACAATCCGCGGTTGAAGTTTCAATAATGGAGATGTTGCATGTGTGAGGGATTTGCGATTTGACTGTTGATTCTTATGTAAAAGTTCGCGAGAAACACGATGGTGCCACTGGTTTTCTCTGAAATCAACTCTCAAGCTCAAAAAAAGCTCTCAAGTTGAGGCCAAAATGGAGGGGATATCCCACGCTATCCTGAGAGTCCACCTCTATATCAAGACAAACTCTCCATGCAAAGATAGGGAGCAAATACATTAGCAGGGTTGCCACTCTATTTGGGGACTCCAAAACTGAAAACACGGAAACCCTGCTGTATTTGCTCCCTATATTTTCATGGAGAGTTTGTCTTGATGTAGAAGTGGACTCTTAGGATAGCGAGGGATATCTCCTCCATTTTGGCGTCAACTTGAGAGCTTTTTTTGAGCTTGGGCGTTGATTTCAGAGAAAACCAGTGGCACCATCGTATTTCTCGCAAACTTATACATAAGAATCAATGGTCAAATCGCAAATCTCTCACACATGCAACATCTCTTTAGCTTGAATAAGTGAAGTCTTTTCGTTTCACCGTCCAAATTGGTCTCTTTCTCTCTCCGACTCTTTTTCTCTTTACCTCCCACCGGCTCTGTTTTTCCTCGTAAAATCGCCGCGCTGCCCTCATCTACTCAAAGAAACATTGAAACCTCAATCGCGGGTTGTGCAAAAACGGTGCCTCGTAGAATGTTAGCGCGAGCATAACTTTAGATCAGCACTTGTACGTGTAGACAAGTTTAGTGCAATAAAAAAATTGAAAATAGATCGTGGTACATATTCCCATGAGGAGTATGCCTGTACGGGGTCTTTTACGTCAGCGATCGATTGGCAAAAATGATTTGTCTTAGCTTGCCGACGAAGCTGGAATCAGTTTCAGCAATCAAGCAAGCTACAGGCCAATGAGAAAAGAATATTTGGACCAATATAAGCAATGCAAAAAACTATGCAATCTCTTAAAAAGATCCTATCTATTTGGTGGAAGAATTTGGGTATTTATAGTCGAATGGTTGTCAGGGTTGGAGTATACTTTATAACAAAAAGCCCTGCACAATCAGAGATTAAAATTGGAACAGCCCGACAGTGACCTTGATCAGATAAAACACTTCTCCTCTGTCTCATTTTGTCTTTTTCAGAAGAGAAAACTTAGTTGCACTTCAAAGTTGCGAAATTTCCAATTGAATATTGTGTTTTCACCAGAAAACTTGCCAGCGTTTCTTTATGAAGATTTCTTATATTCTCCTTTGTTCACACGTCAGAACTAGCAAAACTTTGGACGGGTATTTCTCTGTTTTTGACTTGTGTAAAAATAGCTTTTTAGTCAATTTTGCAATTGATGAATGGAGATAAATTCCTTTGTCGGGAGAATGACGAGTTTTTCAGATATGTCCACATTGCTGAACTTACTGTCAGTTCTGGCGAGAATTGGACTTTGCAAAATGGGGTGTTCTCCTGTAGAAGAATATATGCACTCAATATGCATTTTGGAAAAATTTACAGGAAGCTCGGTAAGGTTAATGATGTCAAGTTTCCTGTCAAACGAAATAAAACTCAGGAACATATTTGACAACATAAAATGCCATGAAGCTGGTTGCGGTTAATTCATTCCAATCAAAATTTTAAGCATTCTTGCTTTAAAAACAGGAATTAGAATGGACCACTAGACAAGGTACGAATTTCAGCATTCTGATACATGTTTCTTAACTAAAATTTTACGTAGAATACGACGCGCACAACGAAAATTACCGAAATCAACTCCTTCCAAAGATATTTAATGATCCTTGAAGCGTGAATTCAAACCACTCGCTCATGAAAACTCAATGCTCTGCGTGATTCACATCGTGCGCTAAACATTATCATGACTAAATTCGAAATTTCCGTCAAGTTAAAGCTATTAGTCCTGTAACTAAGAAATCTTGCGTTTAAATTTTTAGTAAATGCGCCGTGATTTATAGGCAACAAGTCAATTTGGTCCCTAAAAAATCTTTAATCCCTAAAATTCGAGCTTGATGCGCCACATGGCTCCTAAAACTCAAAGGTGAGTTTCGAACACTGTTCCTATGACTAAAATACTACTCGTTGCAGTCAATTTCTTTCTTAAAACAGTGAGTATTTTCTTCACTGCAACTGATAGCTGCAAAGTAGAACTCTTTCCTCGCGACATTGAACCGGATTTTTCTCAGTATCGTTGTTCTGTAAAAATTATAGAAATTTGTATCGATGACCATAAAGTGCAAAGGCATGTAACTCCGTTTGCGACGTTGCAGACTTCCTGTCGTACTTTATTCGATGGGCTTAGAGGACAAGGCGCATAAGTGCAGTTTTTGCTATCTCGAGGAACACGTGTTAGAAGTTTCAAAATTACATGGATCTTTACAGCGGGAAGAAAGCTCAAACTGATTTTTTATGCTTAAAAATTTAAATTTGGGAGCGAATTTTTCACAGAATATGCATGCATTAAGACTATTTTTACTTGAAATCATAATACCTCAATTTTTTCAAAACCTGCATTAATGCGCCTTGTCCTCCAAGCCCCTCATTTTTTCTTTGGAAAGCTACCTAACGCAATCCTTAGAAAACTCTATTGATATTTCCCTCTATTAGTAGAATATCCTGTTTGAATTTTGGGCTATGAGGTTGGCCTGTTTCCCTTTGAAAAAATAAAGCAGGAGCGAACATTTTGAAACACTACAATGGAGATTCGCGATTTCGCACTTTGACCATCGATATAAGATACACCCTTCGTCGAAGCCCTAGAGAAGAAAGTTTAGTCACAAAATGAAGCACGGTACCTTACCACACGGAAATAATCAATTCACTCACAGCACGTTTAAAACACACTTTTTTTCAATGTACATAAAAAATACTAGCTTACCTACTTGCAGGGCTGGTGTAGCAACTTTGCGTGCTGACCTGGAAGTTCACGATGCTTTTATACGGATTTTCGCAGAGAAAGGGTTTCAAGCGGTTTTCCTCCTTATTATTTTCATTTCTTAGCCTCCAAAATTCTTTTCCATTCTCCGAGCGGTGATGGACCTTCAGTCTTATCAGCCGTGTGTGCGAACAATGTCTCAATAATCCCCTCAACAGCTCAGCAGTGCTTCGCAGTGTATCGATTGATCTACCGTTTAAACCCATGGAAAAGTATCGATAAACAGGGTGTTCACGCCGAACACTTTAATAATCGATTATTTACCACAGATTGAAAGGGGGGAATATCGATGTATCGCAAAGCCTGCCTCGCCAAGTTTGCCTTTCTGTAAGTCCGAGTTTCTCTAAGCCGCAGGAGGCTCGAGGAAAACTATCCGAAAAAGTGGTCGGCCAAGATAATTCGCAGGTTCAGATTAGGGCCAGATTTGGGGGCTTTCAATGCCGAACGGTATTCTTTGAAATCGGGCCACCGATATTCTAAGCGTTATTTCTCTAATCCGAAAGTTTAGAAGGCCGTCGGTTTTTAGTGTTTTTCTCAAGGGCACTTGGCACTATTTTGGGACGATTTTGTCGCATGTTACGTAAAGTGTCGCGGGTAATCCATAATCCCGGAACAGGGAAAGTGCAGTTCTTCGGATGTAGTGTTTTTCAAAATATGTAAGTACTAGAGAAAAATTTTGACCATTCACGAAACATGTGATCGAGGCATTGAATAACTTAAATTGATACCAAGTGCCCCCATTCCCTGCACGTCAAAAATTCCGAGATTCAGAACTTTTATGTTTCCATTCCTCTCATTCCATGACCGTCAAAAGTTCCGGGATTCAGCTGTTTAGATTTTTTCAAAAGTTCCAAGAAAGTTCCAAAAACATGCAAAAGATCCGGAACCTTTCGGGAATTTCAAAAGTTCCGGGAAAAATTCAGGAAAATCTCAAAAGTTCCCAAAATTTGGAACTTTTTTGTTTCCATTTCTCTCATTCCATGACCGTCAAAAGTTCCGGGATTCTGTTTAGATTTTTTCAAAAGTTCCAAAAAATGGAAAAGATCCGGAACCTTTCGGGAATTTCAAAAGATTCGGAACTTTTTTGTTTCCATTTCTCTCATTCCATGACCGTCAAAAGTTCCGGGGTTCTGTATAGATTTTTTCAAAAGTTCTAAGAAAGTTCCTAAAAATGCAAAAGATCCGGAACCTTTCGGGATTTTCAAAAGTTCCGGGAAAAATCCAGGAAGATCTCAAAAGTTCCGAAATTCGAAACTAGTTCCGGGAAATAGGAGCACTGATCGATACCATTATGTAAACGGAGTAGTAATCCAAAAAACATTTTCGTACGGAGGACGCCCAGAAATTCCAAATCGAACAAGATCTCTGATGGATGGAAGTTAGCATATCAAAAAATGTATTATTAGGAATGGGTTATCTGAGTCATTATGTGGAAGAAGGAACTAAAAAAAAAAAACACAATTTTTTCCCCTTTATGATCAACCTGGTCAAAAGTAGTGGTATAACGGCATTGGGTCAAGTACGCAGAGACTTCACCAAGAAAATATTAACTAAAAATTCCATAAATTTAGACATGGAAAGCTGAAAAAAAAAAATAATAATAATCGGGGAGTGTTATTTCTCGCAGCGATGACCCGAAACGTTTGATTGAAGCAACCGAAATCTTCGATTACTCTAAAACATTTCAAGGTTTAGAACATGACTGTCAGTAAATGGGTTCATCACCTACTCTTTTGAATAAATGGACTAAATTTTGCAATTTGGAACTATAAATTCTAGCCCGGTTTAAAAACAAACGTATGTGCCATTTGTTTCCCTATGCACATAAGTGTTTTTCCAGAAAATCCAAACTTTATAGTTCCAAATTGCAAAATTTAGTCCAAATGATGGATGCATTTCCGGATAAGAGGTCCATCTGCAGAGAAAATCCTTTGCAGATACGCTTTTTCTGCATGAATAGGTCCAGATAACTGAATAAAAAATTTGCAATGTCGTGAGTCGTTTTTTTACATCTCGTCACCAAGACGTACTCGTTACAAACTACTCTGCAAGTGTCTCAAGTTTTCAGTGTCAAATTACTTTCTCTGACCATGATTCTCTCCTGTTTCCAGTGTGTGGAGACCCTCTCCATAATACAAAAAGAGGTCCAGGCTAGCGTGCAGGATGTCGACCTGAACAAGAAGCGATACTTCGATGAGGAGCACTCAGCGCACGACGTCCGGGATAAGGCCAAAGACATAGAAGAAAAGTAAGTCACCATTATTCTGAATTAAATACTTTGAGTGCCTTTTTTCATTAATCCAACGGGCTTTCCCGGACTTCAAAAAATATTTAAATGAGGCTACTTATCGCTAAACCGTTATAATCACTCGCTGACAAAAACACAATTTCATTAATCTTTTCCATTCAAGACTCCCCACTTCCCGTAATCTGTTTCATTGCTTTTAGTTTTTTTTTTTAATTTATTTTTTTATTTATTTTTTTTATTTATTTTTTATTTATTTTTTTAATTTATTTTTTTTTATTTATTTGTTTTATTTATTTTTATTTATTTATTTTTTTTATTTATTATTTTTTTTATTTATTTTTTTTTATTTATTTTTATTTATTTATTTTTTTTTTACTCTCTATGGCGTGGTGTTACTTATAGGTAACAACGATTTTTTTCCCAAATGAAATTATCCCTCTATAGGTTACAAATTTTTAACGATGATTTCTTTTCTGAAAAATGGTTAACATTTTGAAATTTTGGGATACAAGTTTCGGACTCCACTTTTCCACGAAGGCTACGACGTGACATAGGTTTGTTGTTCCCAGAACCCGATACCCACGCGTAATTTGAACGTATAACTATCAAGCGGAAATATGTGCATTATGACGCGAGCCCTGTTATGCACGTATTCTTATGGGTCTCATGGATCATGTCTTGATGCACATAGTTCCGTTTGGCAGAAATACGTCCATTAGGGTGCCATAGAGGGATCTGCATTTGCTCTTTCAATTTTTCTTCCTCTTTTATGTTAAAATCGTCACTTATGCAGTGAAGTAGCAACCTATGTGCATGAGTAGAACTGATGACCCGGTCGAAAATGACGACTTTTGAGTATGTCGACCACGCTTTTACTACAAGAAACATTTGAATATCGCAGCTTGATACTAGTTTCAGTTTTCGTCGTTAAAAGAAATTCCAAAATGGGGGGGGGGGNTGGGGGGGGGGGACATGAAAAATGACCAATTTGGCTCTCCGTACCGTTGTTTGTAGCAATAAATCTTGTCGAGGGAATTTGATAACCCGCTAAAATCTATTATACAGTGCAGAACTTCTATTGTCAATAAATGCCGGAATCACCAAAATCCTGGGTGGATTTTATTTCGAGCCCTAATGAAATCCCCCCTTTTTATTTATTTGAAAAAAAAACAAGCAGTGAACTCCAACACAATGTGTTGATAAGGCGCGTCATTAACTCGCACATATCAACCCCTTTAGTTTTCATTTACAGAGATTTCAAAATAGGCAAACAGCATAAAAAGAGAATTCACGATCCAACACTGCGAGGTCAAAGACGCACCTTGACGAGACCGTGTATTGTGAAAGTAGAAAGCTATTCGATCGAATTTAAGTTTTTTGATCTGCCTCAAGCAAAATCTTATCAGATTCTTGAAGAAAAGTGCTACGGAATAATTTAAGCGAAGAAAGGAAAAATTCTGTCGAACTCCTAGAAGATAAAGTCGATTTAAAGGTATTTTGGGGCTAAAATACCCAAATCACCGGTAGTAAAAATCCCGTTATATTATTGAAAAGAAATTGACTCGATATAAATGCAATTGCATTAAATACGTCTTGATTTTGTTATTTTAAACGTCTTTCCATGCAAAGAAGTTCAACCATGTCGTTGCTTTATTCATTCATGAATTGAAAGTAAGCAATCTACATCCCGAAAATCTACTGATTTGCCGTAAAAAATTGCAGAAACTTGATATACCAGGTCGATGCACCCACTCGTTGAATTTACCAACCAATTTTGTGAGTGCA